TTCATCCTGGTGATTCCAAGTTGGTGTTGTGTAGAATTTTGGGAATAAATCCCAAATAAAGAAATAAATAAAGCCCTGTTAAAAATCACATTTAGGATTCCAGCAAAGCCAAATTTTTACTTCATTATAGAAAATTTCCGTGGCTGTTTATTAGGGGATTAACCCTTTGAGGGATGGCGGTCAGACACAGCACCGTGGTCTGTCAAGATGGGAAAAGAGAAAATGGAAACGAATATTTAAATATTGAAACGAATATTTAAATATTGAAACGAATATTTAAATACAATCAGGACACGAAATGAAGAACAAAACACAGAGAAAATAACACCTATCCAGCAAGGCTTTATCTTTGTTTTTTAATTCTTTTATTTGCATTGGAGGAAAGCTCTAATTTGGGGAAAAAAATCCCTGGCTGAGCCTGAGAAAGTTGGGGTTGGGAAAATCCTCACCAGAGGTTTTTTTTCTGGGTCTGACAGCCACAAATTGCTCTTTTTTTTTTTTATTTTTTTATTTGTTTGTTCGTGTTTTCTTGTTTGTTTTATTGGGGTTTTTTGGGGGTTCTTTTTGTTTGTTTTATTGGGTTTTTGGTCGTTTTTTTTTTTGTTTGTGGGTTTTTTTTGTTTGTTTTATTGGTTTTTGGGGGGTTTTATTTGATTGTTTGTGGTTTTTTTTGTTTTTTGTTGTTTTATTGGGTTTTGGGGGTTTTTTGGTTTTTTTTGTTTGTGATTTTTTTTGTTTTATTGGGTTTTGGGGGGGGGTTTGTTTGTGGTTTTTTGGGGTTTTTTGTTGTTTTATTGGGTTTTGGGGTTTTTTTTGTTTTTTTTGTTTGTGATTTTTTTTGTTTGTTTTATTGGTTTTTGGGGGGGGTTGTTTGTTTGTTTGTTTGTTTGTGGGGTTTTGGTTTTTTTTTGTTTTATTGGGTTTTTTTGGGTTTTTTTTTGATTTTTTGTTTTTTTGTTTGTGGGGTTTTTTTGTTTTTTTGGGGGGTTTTTGTTTGTTTGTGGTTTTTTGGTTTTTTTTTTGGTTTTTTGGTTTTTTGTTTGTGGGGTTTTTTTCTTTTGTTTTATTTTTTGTTTTATTTTTTGGTTTTTTTGTTTGTTTGTGGTTTTGGGGTTTTTTGTTGGTTTTTTTTTTGTTTTTTGGGTTTTTTTTTGTTTGTGATTTTTTGTTTGTTTTGTTTTATTGGGGGGTTTTATTTGTTGTTTTGTTTGTTTCGTTTTGTTTGTTTTGTTTTGTTTGTTTCATTTGTTTTGTTTCGTTTATTTGTTTTGTTTCGTTTGTTTTTTGTTTTGTTTTGTTTTGTTTGTTTTATTTGTTTTGTTTGTTTTGTTTTGTTTGTTTCATTTGTTTTGTTTCGTTTGTTTTTTGTTTTGTTTTGTTTTTTGTTTTGTTTTGTTTTGTTTGTCTTATTTGTTTTGCTTCGTTTGTTTTCTGTTTTGCTTCGTTTCTTTTATTTATTTTGTTTTATTTTTTTTCGTTTTATTTCTTTCGTTTGCGTTTTTTTTTTATTTCGTTTCTTTTATTTTTTTTTTTAATTTTTATTTATTTATTTATTTATTTTTTAAAATTTTTGTTTGGTGACGCTCCAGCCTTAAAAAAAGGACGCTTTTGGATCACGCCCGACCCTTACCACAAAGACGACAACATCCAGATCGGGCGGGAGGTGAAGATCTCGTGCCAGGTGGAGGCCGTGCCCCCGGAGGAGCTCACCTTCGCCTGGTTCAAGAACGGGCGGCCCCTGCGCAGCTCGGAGAGGATGGTCATCACCCAGACCGACCCCGACGTGTCCCCGGGCACCACCAACCTCGACATCATCGACCTCAAGTTCACGGATTTCGGGACCTACACGTGCGTGGCGTCCCTCAAAGGAGGCGGCATCTCGGATATCAGCATCGATGTCAACATCTCCAGCAGCACGGGTGAGGAAAATCCCCCCCCCCCGGGGAAGGTTTTGGGGTGGGTGGGGTGGGGTGGGGAGGGGGAGGTTGGGGAGATCCCTCCCAGCACATTTCAGGAGAGCTGGAGGGGGAATGTTCATCAGGAGCTGGTGGCGGGGAGGAGGGGAATGGGTTGAGAGTGAAAGAGGGGGAAATGGAGGTGGGATATTGGAAGGAATTCCCGGCTGGGAGGGTGGAAATTGGGAATTCCTGGCTGGGCTGGAATTCCCAGATTTGCTGTGGCTGCCCCTGGATCCCTGGCAGTGCCCAAGGCCAGGTTGGACATTGGGACAGTGGGAGGTGTCCCTGCCATGGCAGGGCTGGGATGGGATGGGATTTAATCCCAAACCACTCTGGGATTCCCTGACCCTCAATCAGGGGCTGAGTTGCTTTGATCAAGCACCAGAAACCTGAGGCAGTTCCCTGATGGATCATTTTTGGTCATGGAGCTGCTCCAGGGCTGGAGCTGCTCTGGATCCAGGCTGGGAGAGCTGGGAATGTTCCCCTGGAGAGGAGAAGGATCCAGGGAGAGCTGAGGGCACCTAAAGGGGCTCCAGGAGAGCTGGAGAGGGACTGGGGACAAGGGATGGAGGGACAGGACCCAGGGAATGGCTCCCAGTGCCAGAGGGCAGGGATGGATGGGATGTTGGGAATTGGGAATTCCTGGCTGGGCTGGAATTCCCAGATTTGCTGTGGCTGCCCCTGGATCCCTGGCAGTGCCCAAGGCCAGGTTGGACATTGGGACAGTGGGAGGTGTCCCTGCCATGGCAGAGGTGGCACTGGGGGGGATTTGAGGTCTCTCATATTCCAAACCATTCCATGATTCCATGATTTTAGCATCAGGAAAAGAACTGGGAGGATTCTTAGAGGAGAAGAGCCAACTTTGGGATGATGGATGAGCATTCCATGCAAACTTTGTCACCTGCCTGCCCAGGTGGAACAACCAGCTCTGTGTGTGCACTCCTGCATCCAATAACGACTGCATTCCCTGGAATTCTTTGGGAATCCTTGGGAAAACTGATGGGATTTCCCGCAAACATCCATTAGTTGTCCATTCCCATCAGCTCTCCACAATCCCTGCAGGAAATGATGAATTCTGCCACCTCTTAAATTTCCTGTCCTAGAACACTCCAGAAAATCAGGAAAGGGGGAAGAAAAGGTGGAATTTGAGCTCAGCCTCTTTTAACATCCTAAAAGGAATTCTGCTCTTGGAATGACTTCATTACCCAGCCAAGTGGAAGCTGAAATAGTGCTTTGCAGTGCTTTGAAGGTCATTACTGATTCATCAAGATTCATTACTGCTCTGCTAATTAGGAGCAGAAGGCCCAGGCACAAACACATTTCCCAAATGCCAGGAATTGCAGGGATTTATTAACAACCCTCTGGATGGCTGGGATGGGGGGGGAATTTCCCCTCCTGATGTTTGTGTGGCTCCTCCTGGAGTGGGGCAGGAGGGGCTGTGTCAAATCCTAAGGAAGGAGGAAATCCAGGAATTCTCCAGGAGGTTGGGAAGGGACGTGTGGCTCTGGAATCTCCCTTGTTTAGCAGGAATTTTTTTTATTTTTTTTTTCCCTTTTGACATTTTCAGCTGGAAAAGCACGGATTTATGTCCTGAGTATTTTATATAAATGGACCTGAAGTAATCCCCTCGCTGCTCCCCTCATATCTCAATAAATTGGGTCAGTGAAGAGTGGGAATCGAGACTCAAACGTGGAATATCTGCCCTAGAAAAGCCCTAAAATCCATAAAACCCATCCTGGGCAAATGTTACTGAGAGCCAGGCTGGGATTTTCGGGATATGTGGGATCATGTCGTGGAAACCTGGAAGCAGGAGATGCTAAAAAAGCAACAGGATGTTAAAAAAAGCAACAAAAGCCTCAGTGAAGTGGGTTTGTGGAAAGCAGAATAAAGGAGGTGGGTGGGAGGGTGTCAGCCTGTGCATGGGATTATTTTCTCTGCCTCAAATATTGGATTTCAGCAGGAGGAATCAGCTTTGGGATTGGGATGGTTTGCTCTGCTCAGGACACTGTTTTTATTCCCATTTTTCCCTTCTGGCTCATTCCCTTTCCACCTTTTCCCTGGAGACATCATTGAACAGGGAAGAGATTTGTTATTTTGGGGTTATTTTCCTTTATTTTCTGCTTTTGCTGCTCTGAATTGCCACGGGAAGGTCTGGAGGAAGCGCTGATCCCACTTTTCCTAAGGGAGTCCTTCCTGTGGCTCAGCCCCATGTCCCACATGGAAAAACATCAAATTCCTGCCCTTGGGATGAGCCTGAGGATGTGCTGAGTTTGTTCCCTCAGGATGGGAATATCCCAGAGCAGGACCCGGATTTTGGATGAGCACAGGGCAGCCTGGAGGCCTCCAGATGTCATGGAATGGTGGGATCATGGAATCCTGGAATCACGGGATCAAGGGATCATAGAATCAAGGAATCGAGGGATCATGGGATCATGGAATTGTGGAATCATGAGATCATGGAATCATGGGATCACAGAATCATGGAGATCTGGAATCATGGAATAATTGAATCATGGAATCATGGAATCATGGAATTATGGAATCATGGAATCATGGAATCATAGAATTATGGAATCATGGAATCATAGAATTATGGAATCATGGAATCATGGAGTCATGGAGTCATGGAATAATGGAATAATTGAATCATAGAATTGTGGAATCATGGAATTATGGAATCATGGAATCATGCAGTCATAGAATCATGGAATCATGGAATTGTTGAGTCATGGAATCATGGAATTGTGGAGTCATAGAATAATGGAATAATTTAATCATGGAATCATGGAATTGTGGAGTCATGGAGTCATGGAATCACGGGGTCATAGAATAATGGAATAATTGAATCATGGAATCACAGAATCACACAATCATGGAATCATGCAATCATGGAATCATGGAATCATGGAATTGTGGAATCATGGAATAATTGAATCATGGGGTCATGCAATTGTGGAATCATGGAATCATGGAATAATTGAATCATGGAATCATGCATTTGTGGAATCATGGGATCATGGGGTCATGGAATCACAGAGCTGTTTGGGTTGGGAGGGATCTTTGAGTTGGAAGGGCCACCTTCCTCTATCCCAGGTTGCTCCAACACTTCCAGGGATAAATTTGGCTTTCCATAAGTTCTGCTACATCCAGGCAGGGAAATTCTCGGAGAGCTGCTCCATGTGAGGCTGTGCAATATGAGAAGGGCTTCCCTGTCAAGCTAATCAGCTCTGCATTCAATTATGAATTAATTAAAGCTCCGGGCTGCTGCTCCAGGACCTGCAGCCTTGATCTGGCCGTGCCACAGGAGTCTCTGGCCATCCTGTTCCTGCTTTGATGAGACATAAAAGAGGCCTTGACTCCCGCTCCAGACTTTGCTGGAATCACAGCAGCTCCATAACGAGGATGTGGGGCTGGGGAGGTAATTAGTGGCTAATTAAGGTATTTGTAAACCTTAAATCACCGTCCAGAGCCCCAGGAAAGAGAGGCCTGTGGTTATTGCAGCAATTGGATGGGTTTGGTGAGCAGCTATCCTTGGAATTTATCTTGAGAAGGAGCAGAAGGGGCAGGAAAACGCTGCATTTTGTTAAAAACCTTTGTCTTTTCTACTTCTGTTTTTTTGTCCTAAATGCACACAGTCTTTCTTATTAATTCCATCCTTGGGAACCCCTTCCTGTCCTGCTCTCCAGCCTTGGGAATTCGGATTTCTCTGGGATGAATCCACCCTCCATGCATTGATTCCAGCAGGATTTCTGGGAGCTGACACCCTGTGTGTGTGGCAGAGTGTCTTTGTTCTTGTCCAGAGGCTGTGGATGGAATCCTCACCCCGTGGTTCTCCTCATCCATGGATGCTCCTCAGCACAGCTCCTGCAAAAGCTCTGGAATTCATTTCCCTAATTTGCTGCTGGCTCTGCATGTTCTGGCTTTTAAATGTTCCTTTTTCCTCTGGCTGCAGAACAAGGTGGTGGTTTAGGGCTTTAGTGCTCTGTTCCAAGCACTATCCTGGAATCATTTCCCTGCCTGAGCAGAGGGGTTTTTTTTTGTCCAAAAATCAGGATCATCCCAACCCTCAGGACTGGATCGTTTGTCCAAAGCCTCATCATCACTTCAGGGTGAGAGGAAACGGCCTCAGAGGTGGTTTAAACTGGATTTTAGGGAAAATTCCTTCTAAAAAAGGATGGAAAAGGGTGTCCAGGGGAGTCCCTTTCCCTGAAAATGTTAAAAAAAAAAAAAGTGTGGATGTGGCCCTTGGGGACATTGGGTGACCGTGGTTGATGGTTGGACTCGGTGATCTTGGAGGGCTTTTCCAATTTAAAGGATTCTGTGATTCCATAAAATCCCCTGTGGATTTATTGTGTCCTCACGTGCAGTTAGGAGTGGTTTGTGTCCCAGAAAACATGGAATTTCCTCTTTGGAATTGGGACTTGCCTTGAGGGGGACACAAGAATTGGAATGATGGGAAAGCACTTGTGAAATCCAGCCAGGAATTCCTGACAGGAATTTCCCTTCCACACCAATGCCTTGATGGACCCTCTTCCATGGGAATGAAAGGTCATGGAAAGGGTAAAGGAAATTCCCTTAAGTTTTTGTGGCTTCAGCTGCTTTTCCAACCATTTTCCTGGATCAGCAAATCTCCCCCTGGGCTCTTCTCTCTCCTCTGGGTCCCTTCCAGCAGCAGCTCCTCGGTGTTCCCCAACATTTCTCCCAAAAAAAACTCAGAGCAGCTGAGCACTTCCAGCCTCTGTTTACAGACAATTATCCTTCAGGGATAATTATCCCTCACTGCCCTTCCTGGGTGGAATGATCCTGCTCAATTTTTTTTTGTGGCCCAGCTCAGCCCTGTCTGTCAGGGCATGAATCATGAGCTGGGCCCAAACTGCAGCTCTCAGGCTGAGAGGGGATGATTAATCCTTCAGCCCTTCAAATTCAGAAATATTCCCGAAGTAGGACACACAAATAACTCC